GTGACTGAGGGTGGCGTCACAACCTCCTGATCTACCCTGCTCTGTGCCTGACAGGGGGTGGCGCTCCAACTCCCCATTCAGCCCTGCTCTGAGCCTGACCAGGGGCTGCACCTAGGGATTGGACCTGCCCTTTGCCACCCGGGAGCAGGCCTAAGCTAGCAGGTCGTTATCTTCCGAGGGGTCCCAGACTACAAGAGGGCACAGGCCGGGCTGAGGGACTCCTCCCCCCCACCCCGCGGGCACAAATTTTTGTGCACCGGGCCCCTAGTGATGTTATAAATATCCAAATGGCCCTTGGCAGAAAAAGTTTCCACCCCCCTGATTTAAAGGATGAGGCTGAGTCAAGTCTTTCCTTTTTCTCTCTTCATGACTTTGCCCATCTCTGTTTCTCTCTTTCCCCTCCCTTCCTTCACTCTCAACCTCACCCAGCTGACTCTCACTTCCTGGGAAGGTCTGGATGAAGGCCTCACCCCCCGCATAGAGAGAGTGGGAAAATGCCCTCCCGATGGGCAGGGTGATTCAGGACCTTGGAGAGTCCTCCAACACTCCCTCCTCCCCCACTGGCAATCCCAGCCCCAGGTGCCACAGTGGATGGGTTCATTAAGGCACCTCTGGGGCTCCAACAGGCAGTTCCCAGACCCCTAGCCACATGGCCCAGCCACAACCTCCTCACCGCTGCCATGGTTGCTCTCGTGGAGTATGGTATAGTTGCCTGTAAAATAGTAGACGAGCTGGTTCTGCCGAATAAAAAGGGTGCTCTCTGTGGCGATGGCATCGTAGATGGTGGCGGTGAAGTTACCCTGGGGGCAGTAGAAGGAGCCTACCCAGCAACTGTCAATGCTCAACTGCAGAGGAGTACAGCCAGTGGTGAGCAGGGGGCCTTTGCCTCGGCCCCCACATCCTGCCTTGAGGGGAGGGTCCTGCTCTGACAACTGTTCCAGATGAACACATGCAGCTGCCTGCTCATTCTGCAGCAGAACCTTAGTGGCCAAACTTCTTCAACATGGACAAGGGAAGGAGGTGACCAGGCAGGAGCCTGGAGCTTTGTGTGTTCCTAAATGTGAACAGCACACAGAATATTCAATGGTCCCCGAGTGTTGTACCCACGCAGACCCAAAAGATCCAATGCTTGGCCCAAGGCACATACTTAATGATCCTATTCTAACTTGGAACACAACTGACTGTCAGGCTGACACTATCCAAACTTACTGACTGATCACTAACACCGGCCATATCCCCAACAGTGGGAAAGTGCCAGCAATGCAGGGTTCCTGCATATAAGATTGAATCTAAGTTTAATCAAGCTTTTAGACTGGCAATATGTTGTGTTATAGACTAATTGTGTTCCCACCCCTAATTTATATGTTCAATCCCTAACCTCTCATGTGACTGTACTGTTTTTGGAGATAGGACCTTTAAGGAGATAATTAAGGTACAATGAGGTCATAAGGTGGGGCCCTAATCCTATTAGACTGGTGTTCTTATAAGAAGAGGAAGGCACACCAAGGAACTCTCTCCACTCATGCACACAGAGAAAAGACCAGGTGAGGACCCTTTCTGCAAACCATGGTGAGAGGTCTCACCAGAAACTAAATCTGCTGGCACTTTGATCTTGGACTTCTAGCCTCCAGAACTTGAGAACATAACTTCTGTTGTTTAAGCCACCTAGTCTGTGATACCTTATTATGGCAGCCTGAGCCAACAAATGCATAGGGTCAGAGGAACAAGTGAATTGATTCTATGAAGAAGCAAGCAGCCAAATTCTATAGGATAAAAAGGCCTGGTTTATTACATTGCCTGAAAAAAGGGGGCTGGTAGCAGACAGGGTTGGGGAGCAGACTTATAGGTGAGAAGGGCTTTAAGAGACTTAACAACCAAGCAGTGTATTGATCCTGATTCAAACAAAGAAACTTTAAAAGACATTTTTAGATAATTGGGGAAAATTGACTATATTTCCCAGCCTCCCTTGCAGTTGTGTTAGATAGGAAAGGGTCTCAAGATCTGGTTCTTGCTATTCTTGCTAAATGTTAAAATGTAGCACAGTATTTTGCAGACGAGCTGTATACAGGATGAGCTTGACAAGAACCTAACCAGATAAGTGTAGCCAACTGCTAAGAAGAAATCGACATATAATTGACCAAATCATGTATATAAGCAATGGCTAAAGCCTCCCTTCAGGGAGACAGAACTTTGGGTTCGTATCCTTTACGTGATGCAGGTAAATAAAACGACCTTGCTACAACCACGTCTTGTTCTTCAATAGAACATGTCAAGCAGAAAACCCCTTGAGTTAGTTAACAGTCAGGCACAGCCAACTGACTAATTCCTCACTAAAGTAATGTCAGTGGAAGTGAAATTTGCTTAAAAGAAAAATGCGTGCTC